CACTTGAGGTCACCTGAGGCCAGGTGTGAAGGGCTCTCGAGACTGCATCGTGGGTGGCAGCAGCGGTTTCTTTTCACGCCGTGGTGATGGCACACATGATCAGAACTGAAGAAGCCTCCTGGATTAGTTCACAAACCTAACAAAGTCCAGCTGCCTTCTTTTTTCAAGCTCTTAAGGCTCCCGAGGAGAGTTCAGCTGTGCAGGATGACAGCAGCCACACCAAATATTGACTTTAAAGCTCTTTAGAATGAAACGGTCTGTTCTTGCCTTGTTGACTGTACTTCACCTATGTTTGCACTTAAAGCTTTTACATACTGGTTTGCAGCTCTGCAGTTATGTTGATGCTGCTGGGAAACGTTTGCAAGGAAAACTCTGAGATTATAAAATGAATTCAGGTTTTTGGTTCTTCTTCGTGCAAGATAAAACCTGCAGTTCAAAAATCGTTTTAATGGAAATGGAGCCCCTGCAAACACAAACAGTACATACTGTTACTGTGTGTCCACGCATCCTCTGTTTTCAGTTTATCAGATGTTTTTGTGGAGCCTCGTTTGGACTCATAAAGCAGTCAAAGGCTGGACTGTGAACTCAGTTAAATGGCCTGAACTCCTATGGCTTTATGTATGTTTTAATAGTTTTCTATAGCTCTTATCATAACTGGAGATTGTTCCAGAAGAAATCTCGTTGCCATAAAGATGCAGGGACATGATAACGAAACAGTGAATGATGAAAAAGCACAGTCGTGTCGTAAAGTTTAACCTCGCAGACGGAAACAGACGGTTGTCTGTCTGCAACGTTACTGTTCGCCTGTCAGCACAAGTTCAGTGTCTCCTCTGATTATGGCTGCAGGTCCTGCTTCTAAGCTTCCTCTGTGCTGTTTTAACAACTGATCTCATCAGTCTCGTTTACGTTGAATTATTAAACTACATTTCTGGTTAAGCTTTCATCAGCTGGAGGAAATACTTCTGCAGGTCAGTGAATTTATCCGGTGACGCCTGTCAGGCCTCCAGGGCTGATTTATGATCAAGTCCATCTAAAATCAGGTCAATCTGAGAAACTCCCACCTTTGCTTTTCATATGCATCAACATAAGGATCCTTATGTGGATAAATCCACTGTTTTTAAAGCTTAGCTGCACAGGCGCTATGCTTCAGGGCTCGTAGTCTCCTCTTTGTGGTTTGTTTTGTTTACGTTACTGAATATAACCCCACAAGATGTCTTAGCTGGCTGGATTCAGACTTGTGCTGATAACATGAGAAGTCTGGAAAACCCTCTGACATCATTTAAAACCCACTGACACAGCAGCAGCCTCATTACACAGTTTTCCACAGAATGTCTGTGCGGTGAGGTCATTTATCTCCGAGGGCCTGTTTCCTCAAAGTCTCAGACTCTGGGCCTTTAAAGGGAGGTTTGTTTGGGAAGCAGAGTGTAAGGAGCATAAAAGGAGAGGAAAAAACTTCCCCCTGAATAGTTTTGACTTCTTTTTCCATCTCAGAGTCTCTTGATTTCTCCAGCTTCACTTCCAGCCGCCTGGTTTGAGGAGAGAAAGGCGCTCCCTCATCACCGGGCGTGCTGGGCGCATTGAAACCATGCAGCTGTGTGTAATTACACTTTATGTGCTGCTGCGTGGGATTTAAAGCCCAAATCATTCAATTACACCCTGCACATAAACGCTGACTCCATCCAACAGTGCAGTGTCTGCTGCACCGCTACTCTACTGACCTCCTGCACACAGTTCCTAAACACCACAGACCAACGTTTGCCCTCCAGTTTCTCATAATAAACATAATTAGTGCTATCATAGCAGTGATGCTGTGAACTACTTGTCACAAGAACTAATTTAAGTTTAAGCAACAAGAACTATGTGGTTACATTAGATAAGTGCAAACACTGACTTCATCACGTGAGCAGTTATGCACTTGAACTGTGCATAACTGTACAGGAAATAAGGGTTTCAGAAGTCCTGAAATGAAACACAAAGAAGTTGTATAAATATCATAGACAGTGAAGCGCGAGGAAGTGAGAGCTGAGGTAAAACAGATCTGAAAGCTGATGCGAAGCGACGAGTATAAACACAGGGCTAATTGAAACTAATAAGGGCAAAGCAGAACGAGGAAAACAAAAGTCCGTACCACAATAAAACAGGATGTGTGAGGACGCGGGATCGTTGTGACCTGAGCCGACAGGTCATCACTCTTTGACTTTGTCTGCTTTTGTCTCTTGACATCAAAATAGCTGCTGAAGTGAATCAATCACAAACCCCGACTCTAAACTAACACACTGACACACAAGTTTGTGCTCTCTACTCTGAAACAATATGAAAAGGCAAATTCAGCATTTAAAAACACACGTATACTAAACACGAGGGTTACAGGTGGAGACAAGTTAGAAAACCTCTCAAACATCCTCACTCGAAGCTAACGAGACTAAAACACACGTTTCCAGAATCTTTGCACTTTAACTGACATCTGCTTTCTTTTTCTTTGTCTCTGGCTTCCTTTAATCCGTCTGAACACGTGACGGAGCTCTGGGTTCATGCAGGTTTCCTCTTCCTTTGTCAGAAAAAACAACACGGCACTTTCAAGAAGCCAAATCATCTGATTTCTAACAAGCATGAGCTGAAATAAAAACCCAGCAGGCCGCAGACAAACAGGAAGCGGATGTGCTGCTGTTTGTGCTTTCTCTCTTCTTCCTCAGCTCTGAGTTCCTTAATTCTTATTCAGATGTGCGTAAACAACTTAACACATCATGCAACATGTAAGCTGTACTGCAGGGTCCCCAAACCCAGTCCATGAGGGCCTGCAGGCTTTAGATCTCACCCTGGGTCAACACACCTGAATGATCAGTTCATTATCAGGCCTCTGTAGAACTTTAAGACATGTTGATGAGGTCGTTTATCCATTTAAATCTGCTGTGATGGATCAAGGACACACCTAAAACCTGCAGGACACCGGCCGTCGTGGACTGGGATTGGGGACCCTGCTGTACTGGATCACGGGCGTGTTTCTCACTGTCATTACTGGCTGCACAGCTCAGTGTCCTTTAATCTCATCAGTAACAAAGCCTCTTATCAGTTGCAGTACTGTTTTCGACACTGAGGTACTTCTACTTGAGGTTTTCCTGTTTTCTTGCAGGGTGTGAGCCTCTGCATGACACACAAATGTTTTACAGTCTGTCAGTTTCAGTTTCTTTTCAGGCATCAATGTCCAAAACCTTCGTTTTCAAGGAGAAATTGGGTGAAAAAAGCAACCAAATCTGGAAAAAGGAGCTTTGATCGATTTAAAGTATCTAAACTGTGAATCTGAGCCGTGAGCGGCAATCATGAGTGTTAAAATACAACAGTAATAGAAAAGTAATGAGACACAGAAGGAATCAGGGCTGGAATCTTTCGTATGCTTTAACCCAGGGGTGTCGAACTCCAGGCCTCAAGGGCTGGTGCCCTGCAGGTTTTAGATCTCACCCGGGGTCAACACACTTGAATCAAAGGATTAGTTCATTAACAGGCCCCTCTGGAGAACTTCAAGACATGTCGAAGAGCTCATTTAGCCATTTAAATGAGCTGTGTTGGATCAAGGACACATCTAAAACCTGCAGGACACCGGCCCTCGAGGCCTGGAGTTCGACACCTGTGACCTGAAGCTAATTTGGCTGCAAATCTTTAGCCCTGAAAATTTCATGTAGATATCGCCTGTAGTTACGGGACTTAAAAATGCTGAAAGCATCGTGTATTTTCATGACCTGTAATTTCAAAAATATAAAAAGTACTGAGGTTAAATTTTGCATGCCTTAGTTATAAATACCAAAGTTAGCGTAGCAATAAAACCAGCTTTTATTGGCTCTGTGAGAGTCTACAGCTTCACATCTGACCTGCTCACTTTGAATTGATGCTTAAGAGCAAACATCAGCTTCGACGTCACAGAAAAGCTGATGTTTGCGTTTCTCATAAAACAGAAAAACATATTTCTCAAGAACTCGCGCAGCACTCTGGTCAGCAATCGTTTTGAAATAAACCCGACCTGTTTGTTTTTGAGGGTTTGTGTTGCTGGTTTTATGTAACTGCAATAACTAGAATCCACTCAAAAATACAGGGTTGATTTGATGTATTTCAAGTCAGATTTTGAGGGAAATATTAATTTGTTTAAAGCTTTTGCATAAAAAGAACTGCAATAGAGAGCAATTAAAGCCCCACCATCAGGCCCAAAATGATTATTTTCTGTATGAATAAATATGGAACTGCTTCAGTTTTATATTTGTCACATTTTATGGACCCGCCCAGAGCAGCAGGGCCCCAAAAGGAAACACAGAGCTGATTTTAGACAGAAATGTAAACTTTGATCCGAGGCCTTTGATTGTTCAGCATCCCTGCTAAACATGCTGATGAGTCCAGAGTCTGCAGCCTGAACTCTCAAACATCAAAGGATCAGAAACAGACGGCCGGGAAACAGGAAACTCGTCCAGTAATAGTTTCCTCCGGAGTTTAATTTTAGAGTGAGAACTCAAACATCCCATACGGTCACTGTGGGCATTAGCTGGTCTTTAACCTCCCAGCACCAACAGTGTGAGAAAGAACAACGCTGGACAACGTCCAGGTCGTCCTCTTGGTTTTTCTCTTGTGCTTCTGTCGGTGGAGGCGAAGCCGCTAATTTACGTGGAGCTGTAAGTGACAGCTGTTCACTTTAAGGCTCACCAGCAGCCAAACAGATAACTTATTAAAATAAAATCACCTCTGGACAGTTTCTATAAAGCAATTAAATGTACAGATGTGGTACAGATGTGCATGGGAATCCATGAGAGGTGACTAACCTTTAGGCCCAGCCTCTAGTGGACGTTAGAGGAACTGCACCGTTCAGCACTTTGTGTTGTCTTTGTGAAAACAGTGAGAACTATTTTTCTTTACTACAACATACAGGTGAGATTTAAGCATGTAATCACATAATAATAATAATAATAATAATTTAAATATGCGTTTTTATGAGTAACTATCAAAAGAGAAAATAAATGCAGTTTTAGTGTTAAATGCTGGATTTAATTACACATAATATATACAGTACAATGTTAGACATGGATATTATGCAGTTCATTAATACCTGAAGATGGGTGCACACAATAATACTGCATTAAATCAGGATTATAAGAATCACAGTGTGACCTGAATACTACATCGGGGACGACTTCATTCGTTTACATCCTCCTCCAGAGGACAGAGGCAAAGCTCTGGGATATATGCCGTCTAAGTTCACTGACGTAAACAGTAAAAACTAAAGAAAGAAGTCGATCCCAGCTCAAACAGTCAAAATATTCAGTTTACTTCAAAATAGGAGAAAAGAAGAAGAAAATCATGACAGATATGAATAAAAATGTGTTAACGACTGATCTGAATGCTGTTGTTGGCAGAGTTTAGTGGGTCTCTGTAGCAGAATGGGACGTTAAAGCACGAGGAAGTGTTTTGAAAGGTCACTGTGACCTGTTAAACCGGAGGAGCTGAAGTCATCGAAGGAGAAAGAAGGAATGTTTACAAAGGAGGAGGTGTCCAGTGCAATGAGCCAAACTGCTTCTGGGAAGAGGCGGAGGTGTTTTGGAAAGATTCAAAGTGAAGCTCACATGTAACGACCGTCAGCTCTGGGAGGTACACAGGTGTTAGCGGCTCGCCGTCTTCAGCTGCTCGTGTTGCTGCCCTTCGTTTGCTCTTTCTTCTCAGGCTTCACAAACACACACAAAAAACCCCGTCAGGAGATCAAAACAGCAAACCGAACACATGAAAAGCATCCGCCGCAGACTCACCTCCTTTTTGCCAAACGGTGGATTTTTCCACAGAGTCTCCAGAGCGGCGCGGCCCTGCTGAGTCCAGGTGTACGCCGAGTCTCGACTCACCTGCAGGAAGCGCGAAACACATCAGCTGAACGCAGACGCACAGATAGAAAATGATCTCTGAAGCTGACGTTTGGTCGCTGCTGAATTTTGTTGGAATTATAAATGGTAAATGGCCTGTTTTTGTACAGCGCTTCACTTAGTATAAAGGACCCCAAAGCACTTTACACAATATTCGTATTAAATTTGATAACAAGAATATCAAATTTAATTGTAATACGAATGATTCATTAATTCATTAATGGTTTATTTCCAAGCTTCAGCCTTTACTGGACAGTTAGTGGGCAGGCCCACACAGGAAATGGTCCGGGACTCGAGCCTCTGATGTAAGCGTCACCTGCTCAGCCATGCCAGCTATGATGGTGCCTCCATCATTACCACTGAACTCAGAAACAGAGCATTTCCTTGAATTATAAGTAAATTTGAAATAAATGATAAAAAGTGGGGATTTCAATTTAAGCTTCTGGTGTCGAGCTGAGCGAGATTCACAGTTCTGTGCCGAGTGCGTTCACACTCGTGCGCCGGTGTCTCTGCCATTAGCAGCGAAACTGAGCTCATCATGTCGTCCTTTGGTTAATATTTAACAAATGTTACAGGCACTGCAACTCAGGAAGGAGAGAAGACTTCACATCTGATTCAGAGGCTACACCAAGGTTATTACAGTGAACTTAAACCAAAGCTAGAGGGAAACATTATTTTTAACTGAAATCAAAATAAAACCAGACTTTATGAAAAAGCAATAAAAGAACCATGACGACAAAGTATTTGCCCACTTCCTGATTTAAAAAATATATATTTGTCACACATGCACATTCAGATCAGCAAATGAATTTTAATATTAGTCAGATAAGAAAAGCTGAGTTAATACAAAAGGCAGTTTTTAAATGATAATTTTATTTATTAAGAGAAAAAAGTCATGCAAACCTACGCGGCCCTGTGGGAAACAGTAACTGCCCCCTAAACCTAATAACCGGTCGTATGTCTGTGAAGGTTCTCAGGTCATCGTAGTCTAAGGAGCTTGGAAAGAAAAGCGTCTGAAGCTTCTTGGATGAGAGGTGAAACGTCTTCAAGCAACTTAAACAAATCCAGCTTTTCTTTCCAAGCTCCTCAGACTAATAACAGGCTGTCCCACCTTCAGCTGCAAGAACTGCAGTCAGCCTCTGTGATACCTGACAGTGAGTTTGTCCACATCACTGTGAACGACCACAGTGATGTGGACAAACTTGGTCCACTCTTCTCTGCAGAATAGTGTAAATTCAACCACACAGGAGGATGTTTGAGCATAAACAGCCTGTTTAAGGTCACACCGATGATCTCAGTTTCAGTCTGGACTCCAAAGTCAGTCCAAACCTTTCATTAGATTTTTGACTCCAACGTTTGACAAACAGATTAATGCCGTCATCAAGTCCAGTTTCTTTCACCTTTGACTACTTACTAAAGTGAAGCCGTTCTCTGTTTGAGAGACTTTGAGATCCATGCCATCGTTTGTAATAGTTTTTACTCCGGTGTCATCAGTCAGTCGACTGCAGCTGGTCACTCGGCAGCAGAGACCACATATCTCCCATACTGGCATCCTTGCACTGGCTGCCAGTTAGCTTTAGAATTCATTTTAA